GCTTGTGAGCACACACACAGAGGAACAAGCACTTGTGAGCACACACACACAGAGTAAAATATGCTTGTGAAGTGTACACACACACAGAGGAACAAGGGCTTGTGAGGTACCCTGCCTTGTTTCATCTGCAGCACTGGAGATATTAAATGTGCACTTTTGCCCTTTGGGAAAATCGCAGAGCTACCTGACAGATACGTTTTTTTTAATTCTTTCTGTATAACGTTGGGAGTGCTTGTTCAACGTTCACAGCTCAGTGTGCCAGTTTCCATGTCATTTGGCACTTTTTAATTTGTCCCCTAAATGGCCTTTTCCCCAGTGATTGATGCACGCACGTCTGCTCCGTGCTTTTCCACTCTGCCTCCCAGAATGAGCACAGCTGCTGTGGCGGATCGGGCTGTGTTCAGTGGGGGCGCTCCTGTAGAGAATCTCCAGGGCTGGGTTTAGTCAGATGTTAACTGTCCTCTCCTGAGCAGGAGAGGAGGAGCCATCTTCATAAAGAAAGATGAGATGAGAGATGCAGATTGAATAATGAATCAATCACGTCTATGAATTAATCAATTGCATCTTGCAGATAGGAGGGAACCCCCAGACCCAAATGGATATGAGCGGTCATTATGGGACAGTTTAAACGCACTGATGAGGAAATATCGTGAGAGCACCAAAATTGTTCCAGAGCACGTTCAGCAATAGGCTGATCCCACCACGGTGCGACAGGGGGCGCTACAGGAGGTCATTCGTGCCTTCTGCCCTAAGACTGTACAACACATCCACTGTGTGTCTGGGCAGGGGCAACATTGACCTGTTTTTGGACTAAACATAAAACTCTGCTTCCATCTGGTTTTTTCCTGTTTACAACTGTTTTATGTGCAAGATATGCTGGGGAGTTGTGCAATATATTTAAAATGCGCAATACATCTTGCTGTGTCCAGTAGTTTCGGGTCTCCTTTTGTATATTTTGTACTGCGAGCAACTCTGTATAATCCATTTTTTTCCTTCTACTGCACTTCCCACTGACTGTATTGACTGTATGGTATTGTTGTATCATTTCGTTACACTGTGCTGTGCTTGACTTTGTTAAGCTGCCGTTGCACTGCAATTTCCCTCACGGGATCAATCTATTGTGCTTTAGGCAAGCTTTCATTTACATACCCTAGACGTTAGAACTGAATTAGCACTTGTAAATCCCGTTTGTCTGGAATAATAGTTTTGGTTCTGTAGATTCTCTTCCTCGTCCACCTGCTCTCTGAAGCCCTCAATCCGCGTGGCTAAGGCAGGTGCCCCGGTCGACATCCTGTAGGCACGCTGAACGGGCGCAGTCGCGTTCCAAGCTGCTTGTCCACAAAAGGCTACACTTCCAGGCAGCCACAGGTGTCGAGTATGGTTAATATTGTAGCGTCCTCGCCGCTTCAGGTCATCCCCCCACCGTTAGGGACTCGAACCCGGGCCTCCAGCGTCACTCAACAGGGACCCAGCCAGTTGAGCTACAGGGAAATCTCCCCTTAGCCCCCCGCCAGAGGCCCGGGTTCGAGTCCCCAGCGGTGGGGGCGCCGACCTGAGGCGGCAGCGGCGAGGGCGCATACCCACGTGAGCCCGAGAGCGCTACAATATCTACACGTGCGATTCAGGCGTTGTGTTCAGTACGGATTTACCCGTTTTGCTTCGCTTGACGTTACTTCTGAGCGGGGAAAAAAGTGCAGAATCGCTCGTCTGCGAGGGACAGAGTGACTGCAAGCTGCGGCTTCTCACTCCGGCCGATTAACTCCACAGGAAACTCAAACTTCACTATTTACCTCTTTTTTTTTTTTTTTTACAGCAGTTGTCCCTGTTAAAAGCCGAAAACAACACTCTCTTACACGGGAGATTAGAAAATGAAAATCGTCCAATGCGACAACCGAGTAACATTTCCTTTTCAAAACGTTACTGCTGTCTCTCAGAAAGGGTCTCATTCTCCTGAAGCAGCCGGGGGGTAACGTCTCCTAACTTTATCGGTTGTGCGGGACGCTTTGAAATAACCGAGATCTACCCTTAAAGTGATCTCTTTAACGTCTCTCCCTCGATCTGCTTTACGCGACCTATAAAAGTCTAAAAGCGTTTGCGGAGCTCACTGAGGGCGTGACAGCTCCGCGACGAGTTTTTGTTTTTAATGGCCTTAGCGGTGTGTTGTAAACCCTTTCCGAGCTGAGGCAACGGATCTTTCGATGTGCTCGGTTCCGAATCGCAATTGAAGGCATCCTTATTGGTGATTAACGAGATCACCAGGTTTCTCTCTTCGGTATTAGAACGGGTTCCGATCATCTTTAAGGAGGACGGGTGTTGAGCTGAAGGCCAAATCCTGGGGAGTAACGACAGTGTGGTCAGTATGAACTCGGAATAGCTCGGACTGCCGGTGTGCATCTTCAAGTGACGGAGTTTCGCGGTGTGAAATATGTAGGGAAACTGTCGCGCATCTCGCTACCACGATTCCTTAGATAAGCCATCGCCGTAACAGTGCAAAAAAAAAAAATCCAACAACCATCCTAGTCCGCATCTGCCGTGACTCTAGGTCTGATTTACGCATTAAATTCTATTTTGTTTCCCATTTCAAGCCGTCTCTGTTTAAACTCCGGGTCTTGACGTACAGCGCAAAATTCGCTCTCCGTCAGAAGGAGAGCCCCCGAAATTTTTAATTATGGGCTTGGAGAGGAGGTTTGGGGGACTACAGAACTCGGGTTCTGGCCCCCTGTTTTCTGGACACGTGAAATCGCTCGGTTTGACCCCGGCTCCTAATCCACCAGACCGGGGTTCGGGATCCTCACGTCTGTGACGCAGATTATTACGAGGCTGTTCCACCATTCTCCAGTGACGCGACCGCCCCCCTCCCCCTCTGCGCCCTCACCAGATGGTACGTCCCTGGTTTCTCTGAATGGAATTCGGGCCGTACCATCGCCGGGCACCGACGAGGAGAGGAGGGGGAGGGGACGTGTCAGTCTGGGGATGGGGGGGGCGGTAGAAAACCTCACAGTGATCGGCGAGTTACAAGCCGGGCACGGGGTTGTGAGCGGTGATATCAAAACGGGAAAATCGGTGGAGCGCAGCAGCCCGGGACGTGAGGCACGGCGTGGAATATTTCGGTCGGGGTGTACGAGAGCAGCCCCCGCCCCCCTCCGTGCGTGTTTCAGTCCAGGTTTTTGTGACTCGCGGCTGTTCCCGTCTCCCCCCTCCGCTCCCAGGATTTAGGGAAAGGGGGTAGAACAGAAAACCAGCTGTGCCGCAGTTCGCGAAAAACACCAGCGGCTCGGGAGCTGCCGGAGGTCGGGGGGATATCCGCGTCCTGTCGGAGCCTGCCGGACCATGGCTGAAGACTACTGGGAGCTGCCAGCGGCCCGGGGACATTACTGAGACCGTGCAGCCAGGGCAGCAGACGTCCCGCGGCGGGGTAAGATCTCTCCCTCTCTCTCCCTATCTCTCTGCGGGCGGTGGGGGGGTCTGCGGGCGCGGATTTGCCCCCGTGTTTGTGCACGGGGCAGCTGGACGGCGGGGCTGGGCAGAGGCTCTGTCAGCCTCCTGCTGCCCCGCTTTCCACGGCGAGGTCCCGCAGGATGAGGTGTTTTCCGCGTCGGCTCCCAAGTAACGGAATCGCCCGCATACCTGCCGCCGACTGCTGGCGGGCTAATTATAACACCGCATTCCTGCGCGCCCGCGGCGGTTATTTCCGTGCCGGGGGGTCGGCGGAGGCAGGTCCGGGGGTCTCCGAGTCTCCGCAGAGCGCTGGACCACTGTTTCACGGGGAGAATAATGACGTCATACAAGTGCCGTGATTTATAACCCCCCCCACCCCTCTATTGATAGCGGCAGGGCTGAAACGTGGCCGGTGCCGTGTGCCGCAGTCTGGGCTCGGCCCGGTTCCGGACGCCCGGGCTCGGGCTGGTGAGGACAAGCTGTCCGTCCGCCTCGTCGCTCGGCTGTTACCGCACAGGGGCCGGCGGGGCTGCGCAGGGACGGCGATGTTCGTGTGTTCAAACGGACTTGGGGTGCCTGGGGGGGGGGTCGGCGGGGTGCGTTTGTCAAAGACACAGCGGGTAGCCGTGGGTCGTGGTCTCGGGGTCCGGAGTTTAGCGAGATCTCTCGCCCCCCCTTTTCCTGTGCCTGGAACCCAGGGCCGGAGGGATACCCCGAGTGGGGGGGTGGTAGGTTTTTTGAAGGTGGCTCCCTCTATGGAGGGGGGGGGTCTTTAACCTGCACAAGCTCGCAATCCCCCCCCCACCCCTCTCGAGGACCGCTCGCACGCATTCCGGGCCGGTGCAGCAGCAGCAGCGGCGGCGCACGCGCCCGGGCTGGACGGTTTCGCGTGGACCGCGCGAGGCTGGCCGCCGGGGCTCGCGACGCGCGTGGCTCGGTTTCCGGAGAGCGGGGGCTGCAGGTGCGAGACGGACTGTGAGGCTGGTCCCCGGCGGAGAGGTGTACAGGGCCGTGCGTTACGACTGTCTTGCGTGTTTAACTCATGACAGCGCGTCGTGAAACCGGAATGAATAGCTCTTTTAGGATGGCACTTTGGGAACTAATGTCGTTATTGCGTATTAAGGTTTGCGGTACGGCTGCTCTTTCAGGGCAGGCGAGCACGTCTGTCACAGCGCCTCCAGCCCGCAGCGCTCCTGTCTGCGATGCCCACGGGCGTGGGGTGCCGTCACGGGTCCAGCGCGTGTGTGCGGGCGCGCGGGGTGCCGCTGCGTGACGCCGTCCAGGCGCCGTGGTTCCGGGGCTCGGGGCTCTGAGGGGTCGCGGGCCCCAGCCCCGGGGAGGCGGTGACGTGACCTTGGCCCGTGCCCCCCGAGGGCAGCGTCGTCATGGAGACGTCTTCGGGCACGAGACCGGACAAGACGCTGCAGCTCCGCTGGCGGGGATGGGGTCAGTCACGAGGAGAGGGTGCCTCGCTCCCACCCCTGCCCCCCCCCCTGCCCCAGCGGGGCTGTCCCGGGATCACCAGGCACCCGGGAGGAAGAGGAATTGGACACGCTTTCTGTTTTTAAAAAAAGAGGGATGATGTGATTGTATTCGTTAGTCAGCTTCCCCTGATCTTTGGAGCTGGAAGGATCTCTCTCTGGGCTCTGCCTTTGGCCTGACGAAGAGGAAGAGGAGGGTGAGAGCTGGTGTTTCCGCCATTCAGAACCCTGGGGTGCTGGAGGAGGTGGGCATTCAGAGCCCCGGGGTGCTTTGTGTCTGGCGCTGGTCCGAGGGTCGTGGGCCTGGCGGGTCACCCCAGGGGGGGCTAGCTGGGCTTTGGCCACGGGACAGGTGGAGACAGCTGTGCGCCGTGCCCGCGGTCGGGGAAACGCTCGGTACCCATGGCTTCGAAGAAGTCGGAACCACAAGGCCGGCTCTTGCGTGCCGGAATTCACCAGTGCCGTCTGCCGCTCGGGCGGGCCTGCGAAGAGAATTCCCACCATTGCTCGGCTGTGCATCCCGACCTGGCCTGATAAAAAGCTGGTGTTGGAGTGTGCTCCGTTTTGTGCTTGGTTTGATCTCACGCACACACAAGCTCCCTGACGCGGGGGTCTACCCCTCAGGCTGGACAGACCCCCTATTTGAGCTGCTGTGCCTCTGCGAAGCCGGACGCGGGCAGTGAGACGTACTGGGGCGCGAGGTCAACCGGGTGACCGTGACATCATCAGGCGGAAAGCTGAGGTCGCAGGTGTGAAAGGCCTGTGGCAGAATCTGCTGTGTGTGAGGGCATGTGTCTCAGATGAAGGCCCCTTGCTGTTGATCCCCAGCGCTGCCGATTAGTTTGAATGCCTGCTGTTCATACTGCACGCCAGCCAGGGTTTGAGAGGGACAGTGTGGCATAACAGCTGCTCCGTCCTGCTGCTTCATTCCCTAATTCCTCAGGAGAGAGGGAGACAGAGGGTCGGGGGGAGAGCCTGGAACAGAGAGTGGGGATTTAAGGAGAGGGAGTGGTGGAGTCCTGTGGACACAGGAGCCTGAATGTCAATCTGAGCATGTCCTAACTGATGTGAGGTTTCCTTTCATAGTCAGTGTTGTATTGAAACTGTTCTGCTGTACTGGGACTGTAGCCCCTGTTGTAACAGAACTGGTCCGCTGTTCTGGGACTGTAGCCCCTGTTGTAACAGAACTGGTCCGCTGTACTGGGACTGTAGCCCCTGTTGTTACAGAACTGGTCTGCTGTACTGGGACTGTAGCCCCTGTTCTAATGGGACTGTTCTTTAAGTATGCCAATTGGCCTGTCACAACAAAATAGGGCTGAATCTGTCTTTTAAAATTTAAAAAAAAAGTTGAAAGCCGATTTAATTTACAGAATAATCTAATATTTTTTCGCAAACTCTCCCTGACATTCGACCTTTGACTTTTTAACCCCGCAGTCAGACTGTGGTCGCACTGCCCTGACAGACTCCGCGTGATCCACGTTAATAGTGTGCAAACGGGGCTTCAGACAACGCCAAACTAAAGCAGCCCAAAACCAAGCCTTCATGCATTCCAAGAATGTGAACTTTGACCTCTGGCGTGACCCCTGCTTCCCTCAGCCCAGGCTCTGACCTTTCACCGACATGTTAAACATTTTCTTGTTTAACATTTTTTTTTTTGCAGTGCAGTACAGGGGAGGGGTGAGAGGGTTTCAGACAAACGCGATCCTGGGTGTGGGGCTTGGTGGGGTGAGGCGAGCTCTTCTGGAGGCGAGAGATGCCCCCGGTGGCCCTGCTGGGCTGTGTTTCGTTTCCGAGAGCTCCAGGTCTCATGTTGCAAGAGGCAGACTCGGCTCTCAACACCGCAGGAAGGGTTTTTAGCTTTCTCTCACTCGGGCTTTTGTGTTGGCCCAGCCCTGGTCTGGGCATCAGGTTACACCGGACTTCTGTTCTGGGGTCATCGAAGGTTCCAGCTGCCCTGGCGGCTCGGGGCTGGTTCTGACCCGCGGACCTGCCTTGGTCGTCTCTGCGCCACGACCCGTGCTCTACCGGGCCGGTACCGGACAGGTTCTGAGAACGGAGCGATGAAAGTGAGGCAGGGGTTAGGAACGCAAGGTCATACAACATAAGAAAGGTTTCCAAGTGGGAGGAGGCTCTGAGGTCTGTCTGGCCCTGTGGAGTTAGAAGCTGATTGAACTGACGGTCTCCTCCAGCCTGAAAAACCGGTAGTTTAAAGGGGCTCCTTCTGTTCTTATTTTGAAATACACTTCCATTTCGTTTCATGATGGAGTCCTCCGTATAAGACTAGATTCAGCCTGATAGGCTACTCCCTTTTGGCCCCTGGGATGTGCTCGGTTGCTTCAGACAGCAATATCTTGTCCATACCGCGGTGACCAGCATTGTACACAGTCTGGCCGTCGCTCGAAATCCGGCCGGGGGGGGTATCGGCTTCAACGACATGGCTGGGCGGCTCGTTCCAGACCCCTACAACCCTTTGTGTAAAGTTAAAGGCCTCCTGGTATAGGCTCTAAACGTACTTCCTCGCCTACACGGCTCCTGAGCGAGGGGGTGGGGTGTCAGAGAGACCAGGCCCGAGCGCGGGAGAGGGGCGGACAGATGGAGAGAGTGAGGGATGCAGATGGACAGCGCTGGCTGGCCTGGAGCTCTGCAGCACAGTTATGTAACCGTGTTCACTGATGTGCCAGCAGGCATGTGGTCTCTCCCAGTGACAGGCAGAGAGGGAGAATTATTTACTGTTTAACTTTTTTGCTGTTTATATTGAGGTGATGTATAGAGCCCAGGAGAGGAGTTCCCATTGGGTTTGGGGGTGGTTTAAACAGCCTGTGGGAGCACGCACTCGCAGATGAAGAGTCACCCCTCTCTCCTCTCTCAAGTTGGGAGCACTCAGCCAAAACTCACTGTGATAAATGGGCCCTTTGTTACAGAAGACTTGGCAGCTTTTCCTGAGTCTCGGCTCCTGCTTCAGTGTAGGATACACACTACATCAGCACTGAGCTACTGAGCGCTGTGCAGCCTGGCGTTAATACTGAGCTACTGAACACACAGTGCGCCTCGTCACCAGCACTGAGCTACTGAGTGCTGTGCAGCCTGGCGTTAATAGTGAGCTACTGAACACACAGTG